CCACAAGATCATGACCTGAGCTGAAGTTGGACCCTAGACCGACTGACCCCCTAGGCGCCCCAACAACATGCTTCATTTTAAAGATGGCTTAAACTTTTCCAGCTTTAGTTCAGTATTAACATTAATGATGTACTGAAAGTCAGTTGTAGTTTTCATCAATGCCTTTGAAGGAAAGTAGGTCTCATGTTAACTTCAAGAAACTGAGTCATACCAGTAGCCTCCTTAGGTGATGCCTTATATCAGTGCTTTATCTGACCTTTGACTGTCTTTGTTGATGTTGTTGTTTTAACCAAGATACTGGTGTCCTTGATTTGAATCATTTCAAAAATTCTTTCCATGATGTAGAGGTAACTTTGAGGTAGAGGTCAGAAGGTAAGTAGTCAGAAAAATTTAAACACCAGCCTTGGGATAAACAGAAGTTTAAGAACTCATTTTCTTCATAAGGTACCTCTTTTCCCCAGCCAAGAGTCTGAGTCTTTTCGTCCATGCAGACTCAGTTCCTCAGTGTATTTTTTTGTAATAGAATTGAAATAAATATTCTTTAATTTGATGTCATTAGTCAGCTAGGATCTGTTCTAAATGGTATTTTTTTTTTCTAATTTTATTTTTGAGAGAGGGAGAGAGTGTGAGTGGGGGAGGGGCAGAGAGAGAGGGAAACACCAAATCCAAAGATGCTCGAGGCTTTGAGCTGTCAGCACAGAGCCCAACGAGGGACTTGAACCTACAAACCATGAGATCATGACCTGAGCCAAAGTCAGACACTTAACTAACTGAGCCACCCAGGCATCCCATTAAATGGCATTTTAAAGTCTACTTATTTCTGAAGGATATTACAGGAAGAGTGCTATGCTGTTATAACGGAGTTACTGATGTCTTGATAGGACATCAACTGTAAAGTTTCTCAGTTGACATGTGAGTTTTCTCAGGCCCCTGTATCAATAACCTGTATGGCTGACGTCTCAGAAAAATGTTATTCTGAAGATGAAATTGTACATACTTGTAAAGAATGATGGACTTAAAAAAAACAGAAGACTTGGCTTCTGGTCTAATCATTGTTGTCATCATTGATTTGGAATACCTCTCTGGCTTTTCTGTTTTGTTTTTTGTTTTTTTTAAAGAAGCCCATCTTAGCGGGCTTAAGGCAAGATGTCAATAAAATAAAAAATTATAAAGCACATTGTAGCATTTCCTTTTTTAAATTATTAAAGGATAGTGCAAATATGGCATGGTTAATGCAACTGCAGTTAGCTAATATAGAAATGACATGAAACTCTTAAAAGATTGAATGCTGTTCTCTTTTGAAAATCTGTTGCTTTATTTATTTACTGCTTAAGGATTCTGATTTGTTTGGGGCAGAAAGTCTTCAATTAATTTTTACTGTTTATTCCAGTTGTATATGTATCAGCTGTTCCGAAGTTTAGCCTATATCCATTCCTTTGGAATATGCCATCGGGATATTAAACCACAGAACCTCTTGTTGGATCCTGATACAGCTGTCTTAAAACTCTGTGACTTTGGAAGGTAAGCTAGCTCTCATTTCTTCTTTCTTTCACTCCTCCCCTACCTCACCCTTCCGCCCTATATGCTCTTTTAAAAATATATGCCTTTTACAGTGTCAGTCTAAAAATACCATAGTCCTTATTCAGGGAGTATAAACTAGTACAGGTTCTTGTGAGAATAGCTTTGGTAAATTCTGTTATAGTTATAAATGTGTATAGTCTTTCATCCAGCAATTTAATTCCTAGGAATTATTCCCTTAGAAATACTTTAAAATAGTGTATATACAGGGATTTTTATTATAGCATTGTTTATAAATGTCAGTAGGAAAATGACCAGATAAATTCAAGTATATACACATAAAATGTAATACATACAACTGTAAAAGATAATGAGGTAGCTGTCTGAATTTAAAAGGAATGATGTCTAAGAAATATTAAATTGAAAAGGCAAGGTCAAGACTATATACAGTTTGTTCCTTTTTGTGTTTTAATTTTTTTTTTTTCAACGTTTATTTATTTTTGGGACAGAGAGAGACAGAGCATGAACGGGGAGGGGCAGAGAGAGAGGGAGACACAGAATCGGAAACAGGCTCCAGGCTCTGAGCCATCAGCCCAGAGCCTGACGCGGGGCTCGAACTCACGGACCGCGAGATCCTTTTTGTGTTTTAAAAACACACATAGTATAGCCACGTGTATACAGATACATGATTATTTCTGGAATGATACATAATAAAACCACAACATTGGTTGCCCCTCAAGAAGGGAAACTGGGAGTATAGTATAGTTGCTTTTTCATTGATGGTACTTCTGTATTGTTTGAATTTTTTATTGTGTTTATATTCCTTTCTCAATAATAATAAATTTTTTTAAATATTATCATTCATTACTGCATTTTTTTCCACTTCAGTGTTAACCTTAGTAGCAGCGGTTTCTTCCTTTTCCTCTTTAAATGAGTCTCTTATTCTCCTTTTCTGCAAATTCTAGTGCACTTTGTTTTCTTAAACTAATCCCTTGGTAATAATATATTATGTAATAAAACTTCATCCTTTTTATTTTCATAGTGTTCCACATCTTGTACCTCTTTGATCTACCTCTCAACATGAAACCAAGCTTACATATTCATATAACTTAGTTAACCTTCTTCCCCCTCGATTAGTTTCTCTCCTCTCAGTCCCTAAGACATTGCAACATAACTTGAATTCTCTCCAATTTTTTTCATCCTGACAAATTCTTACTTTTCAGCTTTTCATAGATAGTGACCTACACCTCCTAATATCTCTGTTCCCACCTCTTTGTAACAGTTTTGTATTAACTTACAGTTTAAGTTTTAGGTTTAATATAAGATATATTTTCCACAGTCTGTCTCTTAAGAGTGTCTTTAAAAAACAAGCACATCTGCTCTGTCAGGAATTCATTCTTAGTCTCACAAGGGTGTGCTCCTTCATACCATCCCCCTTTTACAGTTCACTGATTTCAGACACCTATTGTGGGATTCAGCTCATTTTGCAGGCTAGAATTCTTCCCTAAACTATCAGAAAGGCTGAAGGATATTAAATCAAAACTGTTATCTGATGATGGAAACAAAGCACTACTGCTTAATATCTATCTGTAGGACAAACTGGAGATCAGTTGAGTATTACTGTCACAGGGTGTCTTCTGCACTGACAGTGACTGATTAGTATGAACTGTGAAGAGACTGTGAGACATCAAGCTCAGTGAAGTTTCTGTTCTCGCTATAGTGTCAGAACACTGTTGCTATGGACCTTTTTATTGGGATATAGAAGTTGTTTTGTTCTAATCTATTTGGAATAGGGATTTCACTTGTATGTAATAGGTCATTTTTAATAGCTCTGATAAGTAACGAAACTGCCTGTTTTGTTTTTATTAGTTGGTTTGGGCAACTAGAGTTTTCCATACACTTTAGATTCTTAGTGCCAGGTTGATGGTGACTTGAACAAAGCAGTATTACTCTCTTTCAGTAATTCCTTACTGGATGAAATAAGGCCTTGGAAATAAGTTGAAGAGTTGGACTTTCTCAAAACTATTTGTAGTCACTGCATTGGATCCTCTTATCCTTCAAAGGGCAGGAAGTAACAAACAGCCTCACCTGAAGGAGAGAGGTAGCTTCATCAAGTATTGAGGAAACCTACAGGGTTTCCGATATTACCTTCTTATAGTGAATTTTCTGACTGTATAATAGGTATCTATCTTGTTAATAAAAAGAATCCTTTTTTTTTTTTTTAATTTAGAAAAGTTTTATCAGTTGAGCTGAAAAGGTGTCTTAATTTTCACGCAGCCTAAAAACAAGGATTGATACTATTAATTTATGAAATTGTTGCTCTGTGTCAGTACTGGGGGAGAATATTAAAAAATATACTGCCTCCCACCTTCAAAAGTTGTAATGAAGAAAGAACAGGTTAAGGTAAGAGTTACCATTGACCAGAAATAAATGGAAGAAAAGAAAAATCCAAACTTTGAAACCTTTATGACTATTTTCATTTGTCTCTTCTCTGTTTTCCTACACCATTACCTCAAAGTTTTCCCTTTCTTTGTTACTTACATTCTTAGTATTTTGATTTTGTTGTGTTTGTATTTATTGCCTCTATCTTTGCTGTCATCATATGCCAAAGTAGTCAGCTTCTACAGGTGTTTATTTCAGTGTATCTTCAAATGATCTTGAGAGACATCTCAAAAGAAACTAATTTTAATTTACTTTAATATTTAAAATACATGCCACAAAGTATTTTGGGAGGAAGGTTGGAGTAGAGAACATGTAACTAAACTTCAGACAGCAGAGTTAGAATTCAGAGACCGTGAATCATCTGTGTCCAAAAGTGGAGGGCCTATATTCTTTATTGGGTAATGTATGTTTAGACAATTAATAAAGGGACCTACATAGTGGAAAAAGAAAGTAGATTGGGGTCTGTAAGCCTTGGGATAGTCACTCCGAGGCAGAAGCCAAAGTAAAAGAGAGTGATCAATTTCTGTTAAAGATATATTAGAGAAGTATTCATTCTTATAATCCATTATTATGCTTTTAGTGGGTGGAGGTACTTCTTTTTCTGCCCTTCCTTTGTATTTTAGAGGTAGTATTCAAGGAAAAGAGGATCACAAGAAATTCAGCATTTATCCTTTTATGACTTTGTCTCTTTTTCCTTAGGTAACAGTTGACAAATGCATTCTTTAAAAGCTACTGTTACTTTTCTTTTTTAAATACTGTTATGTTAAAACTTTGTTTCTTTTGTCAGATAGTTACGTTTTATATTTTCCTTTTTGTATGTTGTGTGAATGGATTGTGTGAATCTTAGATAAATGGTCAGTGTTGTGAATGATAGCATTTAGCTTCTCTTAAGGTTTAGACTTAGTTTAAAGAATTTCTGCTTTTTATTTTTTTTTCATTAGTGCAAAGCAGCTGGTCCGAGGAGAACCCAATGTTTCGTATATCTGTTCTCGGTACTATAGGGCACCAGAGTTGATCTTTGGAGCCACTGATTATACCTCTAGTATAGGTAAGTACTGACTATGAATATAATGGCTTGTAATTGTTACTTGTATCTTGTTTTTAGTAATTTAGTATTACTAATCTATACTTTAACTTAAATATAAAAATAAGAATGACCTAAAGTCTGTTTCTTCTTAAAGACAGATGTACAAAAATGTGTAAAATATTTTAAATTTCAACTTTTAGAATTTAAGATACCTTTACTATTTTATTTTACAGTTTCTATGATTTTTAGAAAAATAAAGCTATTCTTTATGAGTGTGTGGTTCCATTATGATTACATTTGTTTTTAACCTAAAATTTCAAATCATTCCTAAGTATATCTTTTCTTTTTAAAAATTGCAATTCCCCTGAAATACTAACTTCTGAGCTTGATCACTGGTGGAGAATTTACATCCATTATGTTTATGGTGAAAATGATAGGATGGCCATATTGTTGACATTCCTACTAGGCTGTCCCAGTGGGTTATTTAATTTTAAGTCAGGTCACAAAAAATAATTTTGACTTTTTCATTAGTTTGGCTAATGATTCTGATTCTGATTCTGTAGAAGTCTTCACAAAATATCTTTAGTGATAGCACGAATTGAATAGGGACAGTTTGCTTCAGTCTTCAGTGACCTCTTCTACCCCATTTTAGCCCACTAATAGAGAACATAGAGTACCATCAGCTGGACATGAATAGTGAAGCTAAGAAAGGAGAGCAACTTTAGGCTAGGTGTGTAGGTAGAGGTCAAAATTATTTTATTGTTGTATACTATTTCTGAAGAGAATTCCTTAGTCCAAAAACAGAAACAAGAGCATGCAGATTCCAAACAAACCAACCAAAAAAACCAACCATGGTTACAGAAAACTAAGAAAAACCACAATGTGAACAGTTTTTGTCTTTTAATTCAAGTGGAGGGGCGCCCGAGTGGCTCATTTGGTTGAGCATCAAACTCTTGATTTCAGCTCAGG